TTTTTTTTTTCCCCCAAACTCTGAAACCAAGCTCAGTGTTTAATGTAGTGAAGACATAACTTTCAGGTTCTTGTGAAAAATGGGAATAGGAGGGACAGCAGAAAGAAACAATACTCTTATGATAAAAAACTATTGCCACTGGATGGTGGTTTCAGTACGTAACAGTACGTGTTAAAACCCCAAGCGAAAGGGATGTCTACCTCCAGATATCACAGGAATGCTTGAATCTGCCTGTCAGTGCAACGGGGCAGATTCACGTCTGGAAGTTGACACGCTGGGGACTTATTCCCTTTCAAGCAAAGTCTTCCAGAGCCTGTCAAAAATGTTGACATCGAAGACATGGTTTCCAGTGAAGATGTTGTTGGGGAAGCTGGAACGTGAGAACAGCTGCGTTGGGTCACGTTCGCTTTATCCGTGACGACGTCTCTGACAGAGCTACGAGCAGATCTGCAGAGAGCAGAAGGAAACCCAGCGTCAGACTTTGGCGGGGAGGCGTGCGGAGGAAACGCTGCTGTCAGGGGGGGTTCTAGAGCGAGAGTTCGTGTGCCCTGTCACAAGCTGCTGCGTGCTCCTTTTGAGATTTTTCAGGCATTAGTGATGTTAATAGGAATTTTTGGATTTATGTCACAGGTGGGCTACTAATTTCTGATTTAATTTCTTGTTCTCCCCTCTAGAACAACTGTCTGAGCAGACCGACCATCTACCTCATTCCAGATATAGAACTGAAGTTGGCTAATAAATTGAAGGACATTGTCAAACGTCACCAGGTAAGTGTTAAACAGCGTATCTTACAGCAACTGTTGGGTCCGTTGTAAGGTAAAATGTGTTTGCCAGACTTCCCCGTATCGGTTACGCCTGGGTTGTGCCTGATGACACAAGGCAGCAGCAGCAGCAAGACACCTCAGAAGTTCATCGTCTGTAAAACGTGATTAGGAGTTATGCTCACGTGGAGCTTGAATCAGAACTCTGTTCTAAAAGTAAATCTGAAATTGCTGCAAGGTGAAGGGTAGGTATTTGTGTCACGGTGAGTTGGCTGCGGGCCCCAGCTGATTTAATGTTGAATACCTGCTGAGATAAAGCAGAAGCTCACTGTCTGGCCAAGTCTGGGACCAGAGAGAAGGCAGTGTGCAGTACAGCTGTTCCAGATGTGTGGAGACAGCGTAAAGAAGCTTTACTCTTAAAATGATCGCTACCTTTTTTGCTTTATTTTACTTTTTTCTCACTTGTGCTGAACAGAACACAAGCAACAACAGTCTCTTGCTTATTAGGTAGTCAGCGAATTTCCCAGAGTCAACATCTTGCCGTCGTAATTTAATATACTAAGTGATGAATTGAAGACAATTAATTGCTTCATCTCTTAAAAACGTAAATAGTCCTTTCACTTGCGCTAAGAGAAACATCCTGGAATGTGAACCCTAGATGGTCTGATAGCCTTTGGTGTTATGATGGTTCATGGCTGTAGCCAAAGGAAACTGTTTCTTTTCCAGATCCAACCTATTTCTTGTGCTGTGGTTATGAACCATCGTATCGGCTTCAGCTGTGTAATTTTTCACAGGTCACTCTTAATTGTTCAGCTGATTCAGGATGCTTGTTATTGCTTAAATTAGAGTTAATGATTCCATTTTCCTTTCATAAAGGATTTCTAATAGTGAACTCCAAGCACGCTATATCCATGAATGATTTAAGTGACGCAGCTTTGTCTCTAAAGGAATGTGAAGAACTGAAAACAGAAATTGTCCCTAATTCTGCTCTTTGGGCTTTCTTCCTTTGCCCTACCTCAAAATTCTCATCTTGTATTTATGTTGCTACCAGTGCTTGCTCAGTGTCTTGAGTTTTGTTTTTTACCAGTTGCTGTTGTCTGCCCTCTGCCCCATCCCCAGTACCTGTAGCTCCCTCCGCTCTGGCGTTCCCAAGTCCTCTCTGCTCTGCCTGCAGCCCGTGCAGAAGAACTGCCCATCTCTTGTCCCAGCACAGCGCTAGCGTGATCTCCAGGCTGGCGAAAAGAAGTGTCCGTAAGGTCTTTGTTCTCTCTGCGGATGAAGATGATGTTGTTCTTCCCAGTGGGCAAACTCTCTGATTTTCTTTGTAAACGTGGAGGATTCTTCTGAGAAGAGCCAGAATGATAATTTAGGAACTTGAAAGCAGGCAATGAGTGAGATTTAGCATTTGTATCTGTCTGCTTCCATGAATTGCTTAGCTGGTAGAGAACTCTTCCATCTCGTTAGGTCTTCGGCTTCCAGTCGCGCTCAGTTTAGCAGAGGCAGGAAATGCACCTTACAATCTGTTTACATCTTTCAGAAAGCTGTTTTAATGTAACATTATCCATCCCTTTCTTTTCAGTCAAGATGGCACCTAAGAGAGATTTCCTGCTTATCTGTGGTGCGTTGGGTTTTTTAAAGCTGCATAGGAAACAGTTGAAACTCACTGGTCTGATTCACAAAGCTCAGACTAGATATCTAGAAGAGCATCTTTAGCTCATAGGGAAGGGATAATTTCCATTATTGTTCCTTAAACTCTTTGCAGGTTCTCCATTCATGCCAGGGCTCCTTCCCTTAGAATGCTTTTAATTTCTTCTTACTTTCCACCTTTCTTTTTTGCTGTTGCTCAGAGCACCTCGTCTCTCTTTACCCACTTCTGTGAACTCTTGTTGGTGTAGGAACTCTTGCCCTTCAGCCCCTGACGCTGGAGTAGTCTCCAAATATTGTGACCATAATGCAGTGCATCTTCATGTTTTTTTTTAATTTTCCTCCTTTTGATGCCATCTTCCAAAGAAGTTGTTCGCATATTGTTGGCTGTAACCTGTCCCGTGTGTTCCTAAGTCCTTTAAATAAATCTGTCAAGTATTTATGGAATGTAAATTTTGAAGAACATTTTCATACAAACAGTTCCAAAACATAACTCCTCTGTGGAAGAGTCTGCAGTCTGTGAATTTCTGCTGTCCTTGGAGATGACTCTTCGCATATGGAGACTGGAGGTGTCTCTGCAGCACGTGGGAGAATCCTTGTGGCCCTCCATGTGAGGGAAGGACAGGATTTGCTTGACTGGCCACACTAAGCAGGGTTCTACATTTATTTATCGTAGAATACCAGGTTGGAAGGGACCTCGGGAATCTTCTGGTCCAACCTTTCTTGGCAAAAGCACGGTCTAGGCAGGGTGGCCCAGCAACCTGTCCAGCCGAATCTGAAGTGTCCAACGTTGGGGAATCCACCACTTCCTTCTATTGAGCTTGTTGTCCACCAGGACCCCCAGGTTCTTTTCCACCGAGCTGCTCCCCAGCCGGGTAGATCCCAGCCTGTGCCGTGCTCCTGGATTGTGTTTTCCCAGGTGCAAGACCTTTAGTTTGTCTTTGTAGAACTTCCTGACGTTCTTGTTAGCCTGCTCTTCCAGCCTGTCCAGGTCTTGCTGCAGGGTGGCTCTCCCTTCTGAAGTGTCCACTTCCCCGCTGAGTTTGATATCATTGGCAAAACTCACAGAATCACAGAA